GGAGCTGCACAAACGCCGCGATGGATGTGACGAGGACACTCCCGGTAATGCAGCCGACAGCAGTGGTGACGTCATCACCACATCACGGACATTTATAAGCAGGTGAACGCGTGGCTGCGCAGACGCGGTGTAACCGTCCTTCTCCTTGCCTGCCTTGTCCTTCGCTCAGCCGCCTTTTTTTTCTACCGCCCTCAGATATTTTCTCTGCTGCCTTTCCACAGTCTTCCTCCACTCACTCCCTCAGCAAGCTATATTATGCAGTTTTCCTCATGGAGTCCGTACTGCACGCCTGAAACGGTGCTCGCGCATGCGCAATATCTCCCGAGAAAAAAAATATTTTGCGAAAATTATGCATTTAAAATGAAGAGGGGGTATTCTAGCATAGATTTCTATGATAAAATTCCATTATTAGACCTCACTTAAGAAATAGGACGAATACCTTGCATATGTAAGGGCCCCGCTGAATATACCAGTCAGTACACATTCTGGCTACGTTAGTGAGTTAGCGCATGTGCAATATCTTACCATAGGAGTTATATTTTGTAATGATTATGCATTTAGTATGGCTATGGGGGGGGGGTCTAAGCATAGATTTCTGTAATTAATGTTATGAGTAGACCTGTGTTTATAATTAGGAGAGCGCCCTAGCCTGCAGGGTGCAAAACCCCTACTTCATGCCCTCCCACCCTTCCGCTTGCATGCCTTTCCTTCGCCCAGCCTCCTTCTTTTTCTACTGCCCTCAGATATTTTCCCTGGTGCCTTTCCTCAGTCTTCCTCTCCTTTCTCCATCAGCATGTTATGTTATGCAGCTTTCCTCAGTGCGTACTACACGCCTGAAACAGTGCTCGCGCATGCTCAATATCTCCCGAAATGAGTAATATTTTGCAAAGATTATGCATTTAAAATGAAAAGGAGGTAATCTAGCATAGATTTATACAATAACATTCTATCAGACCTCACTTAAGAAATAAGACAAAGACATTGCATGTAAGGGCCCCGCTGCATATACCAGTCAGTACACAATCTGGCTACGTTATTGTGTTAGCGCATGCGCAATATCTCACCAGAGGAGTTATATTTTGTGATGATTATGCATTTAATATGGTTATGGGAAATCTCAGCATATATTTCTGTATTTAATTGTTGTGAGTAGACCTGTGTTTATAATTAGGAGAGTGCCCTAGCCTGTAGGGTGCAAAACCCCTACATCATGCCCTCCCGCCCTTCCGCTTGCCTGCCTTGTCCTTCGCTCAACCGCCTTCTTCTTCCACCGCCCTCAGATATTTTCCCTGCTGACTTTCCTCAGTCTCCCACCCCTCACTTCCTCGGCAAGCTATATTATGCAGCTTTCCTCAGTCCGTACTGCACGTCTGAAACAGGACTCGCGCATGCGCAATATCTCCCGAGAAGAAGAATATTTTGCGAAAATTATGCATTTTAAATGAAGATTGAAGATGAAGATGTATTCTAGCCTAGATTCATATGATAGCAAACCATCATTAGACCTCACTTAAAAAATAGGACGAAGACATTGCATGTAAGGGCCCCGCTGCATATACCAGTCAGTACACAATCTGGCTACGTTATTGTGTTAGCGCATGCGCGATATCTCACCAGAGAAGTTATATTTTGTGATGATTTTGCATTTAATATGGTTATGGGGGTCTCAGCATATATTTCTGTAATTAATTGTTATGAGTAGACCTGTGTTTATAATTAAGAGGGCGCCCTATAGTCTGTGTGGTGCAAAACCAAAAGATAATTTGGTCGCCGTTGACTGCCAAGATAATATTCTTCAGCCATTCTTATACGTTCAAAGTGGAGCCGGGCAGGCTGACAGCACGTGTGCATGGTAAAATCTTATCTACATGCTTCACTTCGCTCGCAGCATCGCGTCACGATTCCCAGCTATGCGAATGTATGGGCAAATGGCGCTGCAACGTCGGTCGCCGTTGACTGCCAAGATAATATTCTTCGGCCGTTCGACGATCGAGAACACGCCGTCGGAGAACGCCTCGACGCGCGCACGCGCGTGCCGGTACCCCGCCGCGAAGAACTCGTCCGGGATGAGGCGCGCCGCGTCGTCGTCGCCGCCGCCGCCGCGCCGACAGACGCGGTACAGCCGGCGCGCGCACCAGCGCACGAACGAGCAGCACGAGTGCGGCGGTCGGCGTGGCGACGGCGAGCGCGATCGCGAGCACGCACAGCAGCAGCTGCGTGCCCGAGCTCCAGTAGAGGGCGCTGGCGATCAGCTCGCGGAACGCGTGCTCGCGGACGTCGCGCTTGAGCAGTCGAGGGCTGCGGAACGCGTGCCACACCAGCGCCATCTGCAGGAGGTCGACGACGGCGAACAGCCCCGCGTAGAGAATAACAGCGAACATGTCGGCGGAGAATCGAGCGAGCAGCGTGAACGCGAACGGCAGGAACGTGACGGCCATCATCTGCGCGAGGTTCAGCAGGACGACGAGGTCGTCGGCGTGGGCGACGAGGTCGAGCATGCGCGCGTGGCTCGCCCACACCTGCACGACCGTCAGGAAAGCACAGCGCGTACACGAACACCTTCGCAGCAGCGTGGGGAAGCTGTCGTAGAGGTTCTCGTCGGCGCGCACCTCCGCGTGCATCGTCGGCAGGATCATGATCGTCGCGACGATCGCGCATATGGCGTCGGCGAAACGCTTGCAGACGCGTCGGCGTGGCGACGCTCTCCGCGAGTCCCGTAGTCGTCCTGCATGAGCCTCGCGAAGCCCAGAGTGTCGTCCATCAGCCTCCTGGTGAGCTCCCGCGGCGGCCTCGTCTCCTTACGACGGGTCCTCGTCTCTTCGAAAGGATGTATCTCCTTATAGGTGACATCTCACCACAGGGGACGACTCGTCATGGGGGGACGTCTCATCATGGGGGGACGTGTCACCATGGGAAGATGTGTCACCATGGGGGATGTGTCCCCATGGGGGACGTCTCGTCATGGGGGGATGTGTCACCATGGGGGGACGTCTCACCATGGGGGGATGTGTCACCATGGGGGGATGTGTCACCATGGGCAGACGTCTCGTCATGGGGGGATGTGTCACCATGGGGGGACGTCTCATCATGGGGGGATGTGTCACCATGGGGACGTCTCGTCATGGGGGGATGTGTCACCATGGGGGACGTCTCTTCGAGAGGAGTCGTCTCATCGTAAGGCTTTCTCTCATTGCAGAGTGCAGTCTCAGTGGCATCGGACTCCGCCACTGCGCTCTTTTCGACATCATCCATCCTGTGTGCAAGGACCTGAGTGGGAGAGGAGTGCAACAAGTTTTAGCACTCCCAAATGCAAAAACTGCTCTATATAGAACTTTACTAAACTGGATTCTATATAACAATTACATAAACAGGGTTTCTTATACATAACAGGCACAGTGGCGCACCGCCGTTGTGAAATTTTACATCGCCGTTGTGAAAATGTTAAAAATTGTTAAATTTATAATATTTGGCTGGGGGAGACCCCCCAGAACCCACCCTCCCTCTCGCCCCCCGCGTCTGCCTGCAGCGTCCGCAGGAACGCCTTTGAATCCATCATGTGCGTTTTTTTCCCAAACTGGCCATTACCTCCTTTGTCTAATTTTCCCTCAACAGAAACCCTGATAAAGCTGCCCAATGGGTATTATTGATTATTAATCACCCAATGAGTATTACTGATTATTGATCACCCAATGGGTATTATTGATTATAAGACAACATGCTGTTGCAATAGTAATCCTACTCACTATAAGAAGAACTGCAGGTTCACACATTTGGTCTTAAAATTGGATTGTATTACTGTAATTCGATGATTATATATAAACTACTGTAGTGTCTAGCGCAAGTGTGAAGTGAATAAGCTAGGGAGTAGATTAGCAAGACAATCAATTATCAATTAGGTAAGACAATCAATTATCAATTAGGTAAGACAATCAAAGACTAAGACAAGAATTTAGAGGACACGATGCACCTTTATTAGAAGATCACATTGAGGGCAAACAACAGGTAGAACGTTAGCTAACACTGACGCCGTGGGTTCTGCCCCGTCTTCGGTGCGTCCCTCATAATTATACCCTCTGCCCCTAGTCTTGCCCTCAGTATAATAAGTATAATAAGATAGTATCAGAAGATATAATACATTCGATACGATATACGATTAATGTATAGTAAGTCGGCCTATAGGATATCCGAACAATAATATACTATAACAATAACACAATAAAAATTGTTCATTTGCATTCACATTTCTAGGGGATGGAGAGAGAAAAAACGCGTGACTTTGCCGCTCAGTAACCCGATTGGCGTAGCCCGTCTGCCTGCGTAAAAATCAGGATCCAATCCGACATAGAGGAAAGCGCAAACGTGGAGAGGGGGGTCGAGAGAGATTAGTTGTTGGTACGTAGCCGACTGGTCCGGGAAATCCCTGATAATGAAGCCAGCCAACTACGCAAACACAGTCCGGGAATGTCAAACAACGAACTAGATGAAAACACTGTTGTAACAGGGCCAAATGTTTTTCGGTGGGGCCCTGCGAGCATCCTCCGTGTGCTCCTTGCGATAGTAGTCGGCAGCCATGATGAGGTGAATGAGAGATGTCCCGTTAGACGGCGTGACGTCGTCGTCGTACGCGTCATCCGCGTACCGTCCCAATTCCGCATCAGGAAGTCGCGTAGATTCTCCTGCAGTGACTGCGGTAAGGCTCTGCGAACATTGGCGCGCCAAAGATCCTGTTGTTGACGGGAAGGCTGCACCGGTAGTCCGCCGTCTGTCTGTGCTAAGTCGACATGGCGCACTGAGGTTCTGGTGGGTCTGGTGATGATAAGTCACATTGTCACGTTAAGTCTCGAGCCTTCGCGTTAGATGTGCTTGAATCCAACATAGCGTGTATATTATCAAGATGCATAAGATAAGTAACCATCCAAACCGTAGCGCTAATGTGAAAACCAGTAATGTCATGATCAAAAGTTTAAAGTTGACGGTATACGTAGAATGCAGTACAAGCAATCGTTAATATATACATATATATCCGCAAAGTAATACGTCGATCATAAGTCGCATAGGACTGGACAACATGTTGAACAGTCGTTAACATAACAATAACAGTTACCAAAAACAGTAACAGTTTAGATCTGTTCTGGTCAATGATGGCCCATCTCTGACTCTGCTCTTTACACACATATGTCATGATGTAATTAATTGCGTGCATTAGAAAGAATGATCGCTAGTTCACGATGTCTCTCTTCGAAGAAACCAGTTTCAAATTTAGTGTTTTCTGCATTTTGTTCTGTCATCCTAAGAATTTAAATTCTTAGTCTAAGTGAACACAGAACCGCTTACCGCAATCAGCAGTTTGATGTTTAAATTTGAATCAAACCGTTGGGGCGCTTCTCTCCTTCTCTTCTCTCCTCTCTCTCTCGCTTCAGCTCTCGACTTCTCTCTCCTCTCTCTCTCTCTCGTCTCTCTGTCTCTCTCCCCTCCCCTCTCTCTCTCTTCTTCTCTCTTTCTCTTCATCCTGCTCCGTCCATCCTCTAGAACATTCTTAGGAGAAACTCATTGAAGAAATCTTCTACTCTACAAAGAATATCAACATTATATGTATATCTCATTCAAAATAATACATCTTGTAAATAATTGATGTATTATTACTTTTGAAACTACTAAGGCATTTATAGGCATTCCAGTGTCTTGTTGGATAATGAATAACAACAAGTACTATAGTATACTCAAGAAACGGTATTGCTAGGTTAGAATCTAGGTGTATTGACGTTAGTCACAAGCGGTTAAAGTACAGTACAGAAGCATTACAATTTATACGTCTAGCTGTACTCACCACGCGAATTATACAACGTAGACACGCGTTCAGGGTGCAGGTCACCACTGCACGATGTTCGATGTAGGCAATCGTACAACTCAATTGTTTCTTTGAAATTAGTTTTGCTACTTTCTGATTCCTCTGTTTATCTTAATACTAGTAATAGTTCGATACCATAGAGAGAATCACAGTAAGACGTTCAACAAGCCAAACAACAACATAGCTGACTTTTGTTGATATATACAAAAGCTCTGGGAAAACACAAGCGGTTGCACATTGGTCTGCACATGGCGCCATTCTTGTTCAAGTGGACGCAACATTTCCCACGTATTTGGGCGTTATACTGCGGCTGATATGGTGTTATGTCCCGCACGTACTATCGGAGGGATCGTGGTACAGTTCGATGGTATCAGGATCAGGACGAAATCCCGCGCGGGGGGGGGGGTCACTATAATATAGTCGGTATTACCCCATGTGCTTTCCAAATTTTCGGGTTAGGGAAGTGTTTTTCACTTCTAAAGCGGGCCCGCAGCGGGAGCGAAATAGGCCCCTTCAAAAGCTATCGCCGAATAGCCCTGCGGATCGTTCAAGTCAGCACCGCGCCGCAGTAGGCTCCCCTCACTGGGCCCCTCATTCCCTACACTCTTTGCCTCTTGTCTGATAGACTCGGCATAGGGGTAGGGGTCCGGGTACGACTCTTTTTCAATTGTTATGCAATAGGGGTGGGATAATTTTCATTAGTGTATGCAATAGGGGGTGTATGTACTTCAATTGTGTCTGCAATAAGGGGTAGGGTTTTCCAATGTGCAGTTCTGCACTAGGGGGCATATTATTTTTTAGTGAGAACGCACATGGGTGGATACTGGCAATATATAGTGACCGCCCCTCGGACAAATACCCCCGACACTCACCTCTCCCGCCAATCACGCCCCGGACAATACCCCTCCGACATTTACCCCCTATCCATGTACACCCCCCCGGACATTACCCGACCGGCAATCAGCCCCGACAATTCCCCCAGAATTTACGCTACGCCTCCCGCCTTCACCTTGTCCCTCCTCTCCTCCTCCACCACCTTTCTCCCACACGTTCCCCACCCTCTCCTCCACACCTCCTCCTCTTCTCCTATTCTCTCCTCCTCCCTCCCCTCTTCCCTCCTCCATCACTCCACCTTCTCCCCACCTTCCTTCCACCTCTTCTCTCCACACCTTCTTCCTCCTCCTTCGACGCCCTCCCTGTATCACTGTCACAATGAATATAAACAACAGTGAGCTAATTGTCAGGGTCAAATGGATGTCGGGGTAAATGTCCGGGGGTAATTGTCTGGGGGGTAAAAATTCGGAGGGTAATTGTCTGGGGGATAAATATCGCAGGGGGTAAATTCGGGGGTAATTGTCTGGGGGTGTGATTGTCCTGGGGGCAGGCCTAATTGTCCGGGGTAATTGTCTGGGGGGGATTGTCTGGGGTGAATGGCATGGGGGTAATTACCCGGGGGCTAATTGCCGGGGGTAATTGTCAGGGGGTGACTTGTCCTGGGGTATTTGTCCTGGAACCGGTTTCGCATATATGGAAGTAACTCAGGGTACTATACGATATGTCGCTGGCGAAACCTTGCATGTCCCGCGTACCCGAACTTCAGCGCTGATGTCGTGAAATACATACACTTTTGCAAGTTCACATCACAAGTTAGAAAAACCTCAAACATCTCAATCCAATAGTAAATGTAGCTATGTTTGACGTATAGTATACTATATTATTTTTTTTTAAAGAAGAGCTAGCTTTTATATTTTAGTTCTAAACATCGAAATCGATTCAAAATTGAGTAGGTGTGATAATGGACATGAGGTAGCGCAGGAATCATATCGTTAGTACCCCGAGGTACTTTTCCGATATATCGAACCGTACCTCAGGCAGGGTACCTCCGATAGTACTCCTGGGGGACATAGACCTAGTCGCGCTTTACGCGTGGCTTTTATGGAGAGGTTTTCGATGCTTGTTTACATTCCGTAACTGCTGTGCTCTGGGTTGCGCGAGAAGTGGACTAATATACGGTCATGACTCATGTGGCTGTTCTATAGAATTGGCGTTACAAGATTTGCAGTTACTTCCAACACGCAAATGAGATTGGTTAATTTTTTTTCTGACCTCGGCGTTTGTGTTGAGTTTGTACAAAATTGGATTTAACAGCGAATTGTATAAGCATTATCCAGCCGAAGAAGTTGATCATTTGACTGCGGACAACGCTGCGCTTGTGCTTGAATTACCGTCAACAAGAAAATATAAGGGCCCAGCAGACGGTAAACGAGAAATATCAATCAAAAATCATGGTCAGACGCCACCTCTGTCTCCTCAAAATCTTTGTCACTTCCCGCACGACGCTGCTCTGCTGCGCTGCCTTGTCGTCGGTTTGACCTTAGCGACGTCACTGACCTGTAGGTGAACGTCACTGACCTGTAGTGACGTTCAGCTTGACCTGTAGGATGAGCGTCAGCTGACTGTAGGCGACGTCAGTGACCAGTAGCTGACGTCAAGTGACCTGTAGAGGGAATCAGCTTGACTCTATAAGTTGACGTCAGCTGAGCTATAGGTGACGTTTACTGATCTGTATGACTCACGTGACGCTGTAAGGGCGACGTAGTCTGCTGTTTGGCGACGTCCCTGACGCTGTAGATACGTCAGCTTGACGCTTAGGCGAGGTCAGGCTGACATGTAGGTGACGTCAGCTGACCGTGTAGCTGACGTCAGGTGAACCTGTAGGTGAGTCGTCAGCTGCCTTTTGGTGACGTCACCTGACTCGCTAGCCCCCGCAGCCGGTCAGCCTACATGTAGTGACGCCAGCTGAACCATTAGGTGAACGTGAGCTGACTGTAGGTGACGTCAGTGACCTGTAGGCGACATCAGCTCACCTGTAGGCGACGTCCAGCGTGACCTGTAGGAGGTGACGTCAGCTGACCTGTAGGCGACGTCAGCTGACCTGTAGGTGACGTCAGCTGACCTGTAGCCGACGCCGGCAGTATAAGGGTAGCTGGTCGGTTGACAACGTTGACTGGCGTCACGGCCGCACGCTTCACCTTTCCGATCCTCGACATGAGCACGGCGGCTGCAATCTTCATACAGCAGGCGGCAATGATGACCATCGGCACGTAGAAGAGCAGCACGAGCAGGTATAGATGCATGCGCGGCGACTGCCGCGACCAGTCAGGCCGGCAGGTGCGCGCCGCACGCCCCGTTCCCGTGTACACGTCTATCACAAGCAGCATCCGAGCGAGCGCCGTCGCCCAGGCAACCAGCATGGCGGCGACGCTGGCGCGCGTCAGCGTGACGCTGTAGCGATGAGGTCTCATCACCGCCATGACGCGGTCGACGGCGACGACGAGCACGATGAAGATGACGGCGTTGCCGAACACCGTGTCGGCGATCAGCCACGCCGTACACGCCGGCGAGCCGAAGGGCCAGGACCCCACGGACATCTGCGCAGCGTAGAAGAATTCCGTGAAGCCGAAGCCGGCGTCGGCGAGCGCCAGATTCGCGACGTACAGGTGCTGCTTGGCTTTCCGCTTCTCGCTCCTGACGACGTGCAGTACGAACAGGTTGCCGACGCACGTCGCCGTCGCCTCGGCGAAAAGCAGTACGATGAGGAACCAGTGCAGCTGCGGGCGGTCGTGGAGGATGGGATTCAACAAGGTGGCGCTCTCGTCGCCCGTGGTTGTATTAGCGGATGAGTTTGTCGTCATGGTAATACGTGTGGTCTGCGTCACGCGCGTTGACGTGTTGTCAGGGCAACCGTTGCTACGTTTGTTTACCTCTGAAATAAGACAGGCGCATTTGATAATCAATCGTATGATTAGTTTCAGTATTATCTGCAATAATTTTTTTTTACAAAATGTATTAGTACTACAGCGGATGCATGGTACTGCTGATGCAATGACTACTTCCACTGCATAGGCTAAGGTTTAGATTTTTGAATATTGCCAAAGGACCTCGATAACACGAGGGACGGGAAAAAAACTAAGAGACAACGACGACAAGGAAGGCCGAAACAAAAGAAGAAATAGAAGAAGAAGAGGTAGAAGAAGAGAATGAAGAAGAAGATGACGACGAAGTAGAAGAAGAAAAAGAAGAAGAAGAAAAGGAAAAAGAAGAAGAAGAAGAAGAAGAAGAAGAAGAGGAAGAAGAAAAAGGGGGAAAAGAAGAAGAAGAAGAAGAGAGAAAAGGAGAAGAAGAAGGAGGAGGAGGAGGAAAAAAGGAAGAAGAGGAGGAAAGAAAAGAGGAAGAAGCGCATCGTCATCACTCCCACCTGTGGAAGGAAGCAACAGTACAGTTAACAGCGTTGAACTAATGGCTTGATGGTGCCTCCATGTTGAGCGTACCCGCAATCACACCCATGACATGCAACAAATTTTCTCGCACATGTACAGAGCGGGGGAACGGTCACGCGAAGCCAACCGAGTGACTTTACGAAAAAGCTAATATTTCAGACATCATTGTTTACTCTTTTATCAAAACTGTCGTCAATTGCGTGCCGTTACCATGGAAATGACGAGCTAAACAAATATATCATTTTGATGCTGATGCAAGGGTAATTGTATGAATACTGCACAGAAGGCACACGTGCGTTTGTACGCGTGTGTATATATATCAAAAGTCCATAATATAAAATAAAAATACAATTTTCTGTTACGGAATCTTGGTGTATATGCATGTGTGTGGGGTGCATGGGAACGTACTCCCGTCCGTTCGTTCGTTCGTTCGTGCATGCGTGTGTGAGTGCGTGCGTGCGTGCGTGCTTGAACAATGAAGAATTGCCGTTTTAGTCGGAGTGCTAGTCAACAAGCTATCTCAAGGCCAAGTTTTGATCGTCTGCCAAGACTTTGGTTTTTGATTATTGATTATCGATTTTAATGATTGATTGTGATTTTTAATCTGTTATTTTGGAAATGGAAATTATCAAATGAGTTTTGAATTTTGGATTTTGAAATTAAAGGCCAAGAAATGAGAAATAGAAGCAGAATACTGAGGCGAACAATCACATATATATTATTCACAGTAAAACACCAACCCTGGCCGAATAGAATATAATTATATTATGTGAATATTTCGCTTCTAAAGTGCGGTGGATAAACGTCTATTGCGCATAGCTCCTATGTAGGTCCGCGTGCGCAAGCGGCGCATGCTGCACTCGTGCTAGCTGCAATCGATAAGATCACGCTCACGGAGTTATACCGACACTGTGCTAAAACTTTTGCTACAGTGTAGGTTGTCACTTTATAGCGTTCATGAGGAACGCGACTAGAACTGATATGCCAATCAGAATAATTAATTATATATATATAATTCATTTGATAGTAGCATTATATACACAAATCAAACGCAATAATTAATTTAATTAAGTTATAACTGGTATTAGTAGATTATTTTATTAGTATACATTAGTTTATATATAAGTATATTGTTTAGTATATATATATGTTTAGTATGTTTTATATAGTTAGCATGTTTATTATGTTATATAGTTATATGTTATAATGTTTATATATTAATGTTTATAAATTTAGGCCCTACTATGAATATATTTTTATGGCCGATGTGTTGGATATCGTGACCAGCGCCGGTGTATCGCTCTCGATAGTCATCCGGGACTTGATGACATTAATATGACTAAGATTACAATCCCGACCAGCTAAAACCCATTAGTATCAGCGTGGTAGAACCAAAGTCTCAATCTGGATAAAAAGTAGACTTCGTTCTCAACAACTCGGCAGACGCATTGTTATCACTCTCATCGAGACGGTGCGCTTTGCTTCAAACGTTATATGGCGTAAGTTACGGTAAAACTCAAGCGGCAAGATGTTTACAGAGCCAGGGCGTAACCTCTGTGGCAAGGAATGGGGAGCTTGTAAGAACCCTGTTTACAGCAAAATAAATAATAAGCTTTGCTAACTAATCGTAAATAACCTAAGTAATTTTTTTGGGTCCTTATCCGTGAAATCCTTCTCTGCAGACACCCCCGTACCACACTGAGACGTCGATCACGAGCTGGCGCGTCGCTCATCGAATTACACAGGTGAGTCAATGAATTCACCCCTAGGAATTTGCTCAGTCTACGGCCCTTAGTTTAGGGAGCTAAGACAAAGTAGGGAGTAGGTGAATAGCAACCAATTAAACGATTAGATTGTTAAAAATACAAAACAGGTTATGTAGCTCAGTTAGAGAGTTGGCAATAATTAACTAAGTTACGGAGCAAAAATGTTAAAAATACAAAACAGGTTATGTAGCTCAGTTAGAGAGTTGGCAATAATTAACTAAGTTACATAGCAAAAATGTTAAAAATACAAGATAGGTTATGTAGCTCAGTTAGAGAGTTGGCAATAATTAACTAAGTTACACAGCAAAAATGTTAAAAATAAAAAACAGGTTATGTAGCTCAGTTAGAGAGTTGGAAATAATTAACTATAAGTTACACAGAAAAAATGTTAAAAATACAAGATAGGTTATGTAGCTCAGTTAGAGAGTTGGCAATAATTAACTAAGTTACACAGCAAAAATGTAAAAAATACAAGATAGGTTACGTAGCTCAGTTAGAGAGTTGGCAATAGGTTACACAGGAACTTAAATGCATGGAATACAAAGTCAGGTTAGTGGGACAAAATCAGATGATTAATTAAGCAAGTTTCACACTACGTTTAACGACAAAGCTACAGCCTTTTATAAAAGCCAAATTATCGAGTAACACGTGCAGTAAGATTAGTAATATATGTAAAATAACAGTATATGACACCTACCTGAGGCGGAGCTGCAGTAACGCCGCGGTGGATGTGACGAGGACACTCCCGGTAATGCAGCCGACAGCAGTGGTGACGTCATCGGCACATCACGGACATTTATAAGCAGGTGAACGCGTGGCTGCGCAGACGCGGTGTAACCGTCCGTCCCCTTGCCTGCATTGTCCTTCGCTCAGCCGCCTTCTTTTTTTTACCGCCCTCAGATATTTTCTCTGATGCCTTTCCACAGTCTTCCTCCGCTCACTCCATCAGCATGTTATATTATGCAGCTTTCCTTAGTCCGTACTACACACCTGAACCAGTGCTCGCGCATGCGCAATATCTCTCGAAACGAGTAATATTTTGCAAAGATTATGCATTTAAAATAAAAAGGAGGTAATCTAGCATAGATTTATACGATAACATTTCATCAGACCTCACTTAAGAAATAGGACGAAGACATTGCATGTAAGGGCCCCGCTGCATATACCAGTCAGTACACAATCTGGCTACGTTATTGTGTTAGTGCATGCGCAATATCTCACCAGAGGAGTTATATTTTGTAATAATTATGCATTTAATATGGTTATGGGGGACCTCAGCATATATTTCTGTAATTAATTGTTATGAGTAGAATTGTGTTTATAGTTAGGAGAGCGCCTTAGCCTCTAGGGTGCAAAACCCCTACTTCATGACCTCCCGCTCTTCCGCTTGCCTGCCTTGTCCTTCTCTCAGCCTCCTTCTTTTTCCACCGCCCTCAGATATTTTTCCTGCTGACTTTCCTCAGTCTCCCAACCCTCACTCCCTCAGCAAGCTATATTATGCAGCTTTCCTCAGTGGGTACTGCACGCCTAAAACGGTGCTCGCGCATGCGCAATATCTTCCGAAACGAGTAATATTTTGCAAAGATTATGCATTTAATATGAAAAGGAGGTAATCTAGCATAGATTTATACGATAACATTTCATCATTAGACCTCACTTAAGAAATAGGACGAAGACCTTGCATATGTAAGGGCCCCGCTGCATATACCAGTCAGTACACAATCTGACTACGTTATCGTGTTAGCGCTTGCGCGATATCTTACCAGAGGAGTTATATTTTGTGATAATTATGCATTTAATATGATTATGGAAAATCTCAGCATATATTTCTGTAATTAATTGTTATGAGTAGATCTGTGTTTATAATTAGGAGAGCGCCCTAGCCTGTAGGGTGCAAAACCCCTACATCATGCCCTCCCGCCCTTCCGCTTGCCTGCCTTGTCCTTCGCTCAGCCTCCTTCTTCTTCCACCGCCCTCAGATATTTTCCCTGCTGACTTTTCTCAGTCTTCCATTCCTCATTCCCTCAGCAAGCTATATAATGCAGCTTTCCTCAGTGGGTACTGCACGCCTGAAACGGTGCTGGCGCATGCGCAATATCTCCCAAGACAAGTAATATTTTGCAAAGATTATGCATTTAAAATAAAAAGTAGCTATTCCAGCATAGATTTATTTGATAACATTCCATCAGACCTCACTTAAGAAATAGGACAAAGACATTGCATGTAAGGGCCCCTCTGCATATACCAGTCAGTACACAATCTGGCTACCTTATTGTGTTAGCGCATGCGCGATATCTCACCAGAGGAGTTATATTTTGTGATGATTATGCATTTAATATGGTTATGGGGGATCTCAGCATATATTTCTGTAATTAATTGTTATGAGTAGACCTGTGTTTATAATTAGGAGAGCGCCCTATAGCCTGTGGGGTGCAAAACCATAAAATAATGTTTTACGTCTATACCAGCATATATAGTGCCCCCCTCCGGGTTATGGGAGATCTCAGCATATATTTCTGTAATTAAATGTTATGAGTAGACATGTGTTTATAATTAGGAGAGCGCCCTAGCCTGTAGGGTGGAAAACCCCTACATCATGCCCTCCCACCCTTCCGCTTGTCTGCCGTGCCCTTCGCTCAGCCTCGTTCTTTTTCTACCGCCACTCAGCTATCTTCTCTGCTGTGCTGCTTTTCCCTCTCTCTCTCTCCATCGGCATGCTATATATATTATGCAGTTTTTCTCAGTCCGTAATACACGATCGTAATACACGTCCGTAAGACGTCTGAAACAGTGCTCGTGCATGCGCAATATCTACAGAGAAGAAAAATATTTTGCGGAAATTTTGCATTTCAAATGGAGAGGAGGTATTCTAGCATAGATTTATATGATAAAATTATATCAGTAGACATCATTTAAGAAATAGAAGAAAGACCTTGCATGTAAGGTCCCCGCTGCGTATACCAGCCAGTACACAATCTGGCTATGTTAGTGTGTCAGCGCATGCGCAATATCTCACCAGAGGAGTTATATTTTGTGATGATTATGCATTCAATATGGTTATGGGGGATCTCAGCATATATTTCTGTAATTAATTGTTATGAGTAGACCTGTGTTTATAATTAGGAGAGCGCCCTATAGCCTGTGTGGTGCAAAACCATAAAATAATGTTTTACGTCTATAGTCAGGTTGTATCAGTGTATCTCTCTCACCCGTACAATCATTGCGGCTCTACCACGTATACAGTCCTTCGTTTCCCTACAAATAGAGCGACTGTGGCCGAGCGAACGGTTACACGGTTGGAGCTACTCAGTAATTAATTTTTTTTTAGCTCATTGCACTGATTTTTTCAGGCGACATCTGCAGCTTCGTTTTGTGGAATTAAATTAAGATTAATCTTAAATTTTAATCGCGCGGAGCTTTCATGCCAATGTCATATCATCACAATAAAAACGAATATATATTGGGTTGAAAGTGTGCAGATGTCATAATTGTGTACATATTTTTTTTTATTTGGTGGTGTTTTTGTCGTAATGAACGCATCTTCAATTATATAACAAAGCAGTCAATGGGAAATGTGATTAACGTTTTTAAAGATGAGAATTTCACAGCTCTATCGTTTGTCGTAATGAACGAGTACCCACCTTATATTAACAAAGCCCATCAATGGAAATGTGATTAACGGTTTTTTTTTGGAGGATGAGATTTCACAATATTTTTTGTTAACTCGTTCGGCATAAAAATTTTTGTTACGTTGGCATGTGTCTTTTTCATGGAGCCTTTTCCAAGCAGCGTGCAGGCACGTGCCAGATAAAACACGCTGTTGTCATAGAAATATAATTAACATAGCGGCTCAAATTTTAGATATAGAATTTCATCTAGGAATATATCACTACTGTTAACTATATATCATAGTATATTCCTCTTGGCGAAACAGGTAAATTACGACAGGCAACGCGAAGAATACCAAGAGCTGGGTTTACAATGCCAACTTAGTGTTGGCCGAATTGCCTGCATTTGTACCAACTCGCAATTTGGCAACTGACAATCGCAGTGTAAAACGCAAAGTGTTGCAACAGTCCAACCGAATCGATATCAGCTATAGTTAGGGAGTATAGAAAAAAAATATGCTTACTAATTGCGCAATTCGGCAAATTCGGCAATCGGCTCGCAACTCAAAGTTGGCACGTGTAAACGCCAGCATAAGAAGATCACCTACTTTCCCCCCACATATTCCCACGCCAACAAAAGAACGGCGCAGGAGACGCGAAAAGAATGGCGCGCATGTGTCATGAAAGACTGTAGCAAGAGCCTAATGCCATTGACAGCACCCTCCCTCGCCACACTAACAGACCTTATTAGTTAGATTACTTACCAGTGCACAAGTGGCCACAGATCGAAATACCCGAGTCAAAAGCAACACAACCCACAAACCACACAACAACAAAAACAAAGATCATAACATAACAAAACTGCACAATATAACATCAAAACTCAAAATCAGTCTCTCTCTCTCTCGTCTCTGTGTGAAAACAAAAGAGCATACTTTCAAATTCTAGCGAGCGCGGATCCGCGAGAGGAAATCAACCGGCAAGCACAGGCATGGATACGGAACTGTTCGTCTGTGCCTCTGTTACCGCGGTGTGTACCGTCTGCTAATACAATACTAAGTCAAGCTATCAACGGTACGTTAAATTTATTAGCGTTATATCTGTCCACTTCGGCGTGCATAGTTGAATGATAGTGAGCACTAATACATCCACACATGTAGTCGGCAGAATACCACGAACATGATCATAATATAACTAGAAGATCACTATGGCGAAGGGTCGTTGTCGTATCAGGTACTACAGATAAGTACCGAGGTACATCAACACATAAGTGCTAACGCAGACTTGTACTACAGAATGTACCCTAACGGCCTAACCTCAACCTCTAGCGCCCTAAAGCCCTAAGCGCCTAACGCTAACCTCAACACTACCTCATATAAAAAATATAAACATAATACCTAAAACAACCTAAACTATCTCATCGGGTAACATAAGTCCTGATAAGTACCCTGATAACGCACAACGACCCCATCTGCGAACACATGTATATTCACTAGCCTGTCTATCTATATTGCATTTCTAACTGCCGCGGAACTGAATATCAGACACCCAACACCAAACACCAACAACAAAACACACACATTTGTGTGATCGTGATCGTTTCGAATGCACGAATCGGCAGCGTCCACTTGGCTGTTCTATTTGCTATCACTGGCCCCCACGCACGGCCGCGGGCACACATCACACACACACGACACACACTACACACTACACACAACACAGCACACCACGACACACACAAACAACACACACACTACCACACACTACGCACGCGTGTACACGACTGAGTTTGTCATGCGCATATTAAAAAGAACGAGCGTTAAACGGTGAGGGCGGTCTACCCCCCGCCAAAGCCAGCGCCACCTCGAACTCGGAACCTCGCGGCTAAGCCTAATGAATGAACGGAGACTGAGAGCACGTCCCCGCGGGCCGCGCCGCGCCTCCTTCAACACCCCCCCGCCGCGCCCTTGAGCCCCTCGACTGGCCGTGCCAGCTGAACAAAACACACAACACAAAAAATACCAAAACAAACTGCTCGAGAACAAACAAAAAACACAAAGACAAGACATGGCAAGGAGAATACACACCACACCAAAACAACAGACACAAACACCAAACAGTTCAAACACAATAACACAAGGACTACACACAAACATATCAGCACAGAAAACATAATCACCAAAACTACACCAAAAACAATATTTATATCTATTACGACGGACAGCTAGCACCGATACGCCTTATATTCCCCGTCGAACGGGTC